AACAACTTTTTTTTTTTTTTTTGAAACAATGGGGTCACTCTAGTCTACATTATGCCTAATTCAAATAAAGAATCTAATAAAATAATGTGTCAATATAGACAAATTAAGAATAATGGACTGGATTTTATACAAATTAAGAATAATGGTGGAATTTAAATTGTTAACATCATAAAACTTATGATTCTTAATTAATGTATCAAAACCTTGGACCATGGTTGATGGGTTCAGGGATCTATTTTCAAATGAAACTGGATTCGTTGGTTTTTTGAAAGTAGATTATACATATATGGATCCCAAGATTATACATTATCAAACCTTGGACCATAGATGATGGAAGCGGGGATCTATTTCACAATAGTACTGGAACCCCCTAATGGTTGGAACGTGATCCCTGTTATTGGGAGCGAGATTCCAAAATTTTGGGAGCAATATCCCTAGATTTTGGGAGCGAGGTTCCAAAAAAGAAAATTCGGGCTCCCCATGAGATCCCTAAGAAGAACCGTGGGATTGAGGTTTCGGAGCGGGAACGGGACCGTAAAGCAAGAATGGAAAGGACGGCATAGGGAAGGTGAAACCACTTAGTATCATTCTTAAAGAGAATGTAGAGATGGAGAATGATTTTTTTTTTTTAAGTTCAAAGCTCTTGCAGGATCCAGTCCATTACTCCTTGTTGCTTATAGTTAAGATGGGATGATTAAAAATGGAAATTATCACCTATCAATAATCAGCAAGCCCATAGATAGATTGCAAGAAATTATTAGGTAGATGACAGCATAAAATTGGATAAAGAAACACTAAAACTGGAAGCCTATTGAGTCATGCATGATTTATGAATCCTTTGCAAACACTTTAGAGTTTTAAACTCCCGTAAATAACTAAAATAGAGCAGAATGGCAGACCAGGATTCGCGTAGCCGACCCCAAATAGTTGGGAAAAGGCTCTAATGTGTGATGATAAGGAATTAAAGAAGCTAAGATCAGGGAATATTTCTCAATGATGATAAATGGTAAGGCTTGTTTACATTCTCCAAAAAAAAAAAGTCAGGGAATATTTTGGTTTTTGAGAATGTGATCACTATGGGCCAATTTGGATGTAATTACTATCACAGGTAATTCACTGTTTCCATAAAATTAATCATGATAATGAATTATCTGTTGTTTGGTAGTTTTTGATCATAAAGATATATGAAATAAATTCATATGCAATCTTACATATAAAATATAAATTTATCTTTTTGAAAAGTTGTTTTCATTTTATTCAAAGTGGTTTGCTGAAATCACATGTTCTTAGATAGAAATAGCTAAAAACATTTGGAAATCAAAGAAAAAGTTAAATAATTAAGTAATATTATACATAACACAAGATACTTACCGAAGAGCTAGCAAACTAATATTATACAAAGTATATTGATTTTAGATAAGACAGCCTTTTCCAGGTAAATTAATTGTCATCCAAAGAGGCCCTATAAAAATGTACTTAACCGATGCCCCCCCACCCCACCCCACCCCACCCCCTCCAAACAGAAAAAAAAGGTCACTGTAAAGATGCAAATGACACAAACCAAAATTGGGAAGTACCTATGATGCCATAAATCTCATCTCCTCAAAAGCATCCTATTTATGTGGACATTTACACCGAAGTTAGCAATCCCATCAGTCCCACAAACTTTAGCTTCAGAAATATGAACAAAATTAATAATATGAAAGACAAGTAAAAGGTCCTCAATTCATAGAAAATGCAAATGACTCAAGACAGGCCAATAATCTGTATCTTGCCATAGCCATAAACCCAAACATATTCAATGTAGTCATAGGAATTTACATGCGGAAATGAATAAGAAAAGCAAAATGTCACCTGAAAGTCATTGAATGCTTCACTGATCTTTGAGCCCATGTCGCCATTTGTTGGCGAGGCCAATTGTTGGGAGAAGATATCTGTCTTGTCAGAAGAATGACCTTCTAACCCTTCGCTCAACCTCGATGCAAATTGCTCCAAAGGCCTCAAGCAAACAGCTATAACCCTCTTGTATGTATCACCAGTCTCTTCAAAGAAAGCCGCTCGGCGCCAAGAATCGACATTACTCTCAGAAACCATGCACAGATCAAGATAGGCTAAATAGTGGCCGAAAGATCTCGGAATACTTTGCTCCAATGCAGCAATAAGGGTTTCACTAGGGTTTGTTTCTGCTGCAGCTGAACCTTGAGAAGGAGCAAAAACACATCTCCTTGTGTGCAAAACCTAAAGATAACAGCAAAAGAAAAAAAAAATGCATTGATGAGGATAAAAGACCACCATTCAATTAAGGGATACCATAATCCAAAAACCACTATTTAAATAAGGGAAAGTACACCATAATCCAAAGGAGTTGTGCATACAGTACTCCAAAGAGTACTAGTCGTCTATCTCTAATGAAAAACGATGGAGATTAACTGTATGTGGGGGATTGTCCTAGTGGGATCCACTAAGTTAATCTCATCATCTAGGAATGAACGAGAGATTATGATTTGAGGAGTGGAGCACATATAATAAATAACAATCCCTAAAATTACTACACGTAAGTGGTGCAGAATCAGGTTAGGATCGAAGTAATACACATGTGAGAGATCAAAATAACAAGGAGATAATGAAGGAACGAACCTGAAGCAAATGAACACTCAATTCCCAACAGAAGTAGATAACACATGTTCCAAGGTACAATCCAAATTGCTGAGCCATGAATTTTCCCATTGCGCCATTGCTCCTTATGCTAAGTGGCAAACATACCACGAAAAGAATTGTGCACAGCTCTGCTATAGAGGATAGTTTTATCGCTTGCAAAAGAGACTGTGACAGCCCCATCTTGAAACTGAAATAGAGAGGACGCTGCAAAATAGGCCAATTAAACCATCAGAAATTCCTCGATAAAACAGAAACCTAAGCACATTCTAAGGAATTTTATAATTTTTATCTATGACTAATACCTAATGAGATTACAATGAAGTTCTGAAACTTGCAACTGCTATTCTCAGCTTCAAGCATCATTAAAGCCAAATTAATTTCTGACCAACTATGTGCACGTATCGTTCAGATATGTAGAAAGAAGAGAAGGAAATCTTTAGACAAGGTCATGAGTATTTTATATAAAAAGAAAAAGCAAAAAGAAAGGAATTCAATAATTTCATCTATCACAAAAATAAAAATGACAATTATATTCCAGTTTGATTCTGGTTTCTTACACAATAACATAGATGTATATATATTTTAGGAAATTGAGAGACGAACAATTAAGCACTTTATCAATATCTATTTATTTCATTTCAAAATACCCATAAAAAAACACATGGTCTTGAGTCAGAATAATTGCAAAATGGCAAAAATTTTAGTACTTCATCTATGATGGGTATTTTGATAAATTTCCCTATATATTTTTTTTGAGAAAGGATAAATTTCCCTATATTTTATCATAGCATTATCCATGTCAAGATATTCATGGAATTCAAATATTATCCTTCAAATGAGAATCCAACGATACCTTCATATTTATACGAAGGCAACACACTCAGAGAGTGGCAACTCACGATACCTAATAACATGATACTAGAGTTTCCTATTTGCATGAAGTCCCCCATCTTAAAAGGACTCATCAAATTTATAAACTTTTTTATGCCAAACCAATGCTAAGCTTCATAGATGTAAAGGCAAAATTTGTAATCATTAATTCAAATCTTTTACACATCTAACTTTGATTTACTGCCATGAGAAAGAGAATATATCATGATCTACTATACTAGAAATACATATGGACATTATTAAGAAGAATATATATGTCGAGAGTTCTCTTGTGACAGGCTAGTTGGGGGTTAAGTTCTGGTCCTTTAAGAGAGTCTATATAAGGGTATTACATTGGTGATCTGTGCATGCCCTAGAGGGGTCACCATATGGGAAAGGTGGATTTCCCAATGTTGTTATATTCGCTTCGCTTCAAGTGAAGCCATTCAAAACGCTATTCAAACTTTAAAACAAAATTGCCACGTAATAACTCTCTGCGCAAAGAGAGAACACAAAGCCCCAAATCCGAGGGGCGTGTTACATGCTTCACTACCTACGTGGCACCATAACACCATCCCTCATCAGCAGGTACCACCTTGCTCATCTCTTTTAGTTTTATAAAATCCCACAACGATCCTTAACTTTTATTACAATAAAATTAGCCTCTTCATTATATGAAAGGGTGGTTATGCCCTCACATGATAAAATAATTGAATATCTTTTTTTCTCTATTTTTCAAAATTTTGATATTTTTTATTTTTATTTTTTAGTATTTTAATATGTATATATATAGAGGGTGCAGTTTCTATAAGGTTGCAACCTTAGACAATCCAATTAAGGCATACCTCCAAATTTTATCATAACATGTAATTTTGTTGTAAAAATTTTTTAGGATTGCCTTAAAAACTATTTTCATATCTAATTGGAAAATTTTAAACTCAAAAATGGTTAAAATCAAGTAGATCTATAAACATATGAAAATCTTGAAAATGGACAGTCTAGATAATGTGTTGCAAGATGCACTATTTTTGGGACTCAAACTTCTTTTTTTAATATTCATATATCTCGATGTCGAGATGATCAATTAGAGGGTTTTTTCAACATTAAAACAGCCTTTCCGATAGATTTTTGAGGTGCATCTGTGATTCTACATTTTAAGGTTGCAACCTTATATAAACTTTTCCCATATATATAAACCTATACTTTATTTATATTGAATTAACAAAAAAAAAAACTGAAGTCTTCTCCCAAATTGGCCGTAATATATTTTTATATATAAACCTATACTTTATTTATATTGAATTTAAAAAAAAAAAAGAAGAGGTCTTCTCCAAATTGGCCGAAGTACCGAGTTGCTTCATTTTTCTGATCAAACTAAAAAAGGCTCTGAAGCGAATCTGACAACATTGGGATTTCCCTTAGAGAGAATTAAGCTTCTAGTGAGATAAACAGAGTGTACATGTCTTGTATGTACAAAGATGCTTATTTCTTGTAGAGAAGCAGTTCTCAAAGAGATTTTGAGCAATATCCCCTATGTAACAAGAAAAGAAAATCGACTTCTCATTGCTCTCGCATCTCTATCTAGAGAAGGACGATTGACAAGGGATGCAGGTTGGGAGAATAATTTTAAGGGTTGCTCGATTGGTCATTCTCGAGGGTTAGTAAGATACTTTTTGTATTCCCAAAATCTATGAAGTAACTCTCATCAAAATAGTCAATCATGCCATGCCCGTGGACATAGCCTTTTGGGGGTGAACCACTTATATTCTGTGTTTTTTTTTGAGGATGTTAACCTTTAATTAAGGAAAGAAGGAGTAAACGCTATCCACAAAGCGAAATCTCAAAGTACAGAAACCACTTATATTGTGTGTTCTTGTGCTGTGTGTGCCTATATGATTTACTTTTCATGTTCTTTTATGATTTCTACTCATTGATTTCCTTTTAGCTAGTTAAGTGCATGATGTACATGATGCTTGTGGGATTCTAGCATCTAGAATCCTGGTTCCACATCTAAGTGGGTCTTCAAAACCTAACAAGTAGTGTCATAGGTTATGGTTTAGTATGGGGCTAGGTTTAGTGCAATATGCAAGTGTTTAGTTCGAGGTAGAGAAATATGAAGGTAAATTGCTTGTGAAAATTTCACAATGGTTTTGATTGGTAAAGACGGAAAAACCCAGAAAACTATATTATGAGGATGAAATGGCAAGCCGGTGCACTCTATGAGGGCTTGTGTGAAGAAGATTGATCGACAGATATCTCATTTGGTGACTTGATAGAATTCAAGCCAAGGTAGAGACTCGTTAAGATTTGTCTTGAATCCCAAGCAAGCTATGATTGGTTTGGTTTCCATATTGATGGTGATGTGAATCCTTAATTTTAGGGAAGCAATATCTTTCCATATGAAAATTTATTAAATGTAAGAAATTATAAGATTTGGTATATCTCTTGTTATAAGTTAGTTGAGGGTTAAGCCATGGTTCTTTGAGAGAGTCTATATCAATGTTGTCAGATTCGCTTCAGAGTCTTCTTCAGTTTGGCGAGAAAAATGAAGCAATTCGGTGCTTCAGCCGATTTGGGGAAAACTTCCAACTTTTTTTTTAGTTTAGTATAAATAAATTAGATATTTATATATAAAATATATACAAATAATGGAAATAATGGAAATTTTAAAAATAAAAAAATACTTTTCTATAGCTATTTCTTTGTTGGCCGAAGCAGATCCAACGCACACTCAAAGCAAACCTGAATCTAACCGAAGCAGCCCAAAGCGGCCCAAATCTGACTGAAGCGGCAGCACCAAGCTTCGCTTCTCTTTGGTTTATGCCTAAAATCCGAAGGCTTCGGACGAAGCGAAGCAAATTTGATAACATTGGTCTATATAGGACCTCTTTGTATGTGATCTGTGTGCCCTACAGGAGTCATCATATGGGAAAGGTGGACTTCCCTCTGTAGAGAGGTAAGGACCTCCTACATAGATAAGGGTCTAAAAGGAGCCTCTAGAGGGAGAAGTGAGCTTCTATGAGAGAAACAATGTGCATGTGCCTCATATGGAGAGAAAGGCTTGTTTCTCACAAAGAAGCAATTCTCGTGGAGATTTGGTTGATATCCCCTTTGTAAAGAGAGAGTTTCCCATTGCTCTTGCATCCCTACCTGATGTATTTGGTAATAGTTGCTAGAAGTGAACAAAAGGAAGATCAATAGGTGATGACAGTTGGTAATGGTTTCAAGGGTTGCTCGCTAGGTTATTCTCAAGGTTTGGTAAGGTATCCCTTCATAAAGAAAAAGTTGGTTTCTCGTTGCTCTCACATTTTCATCTGGTGTGTTTAATAATAGTTGCTAGAAGTAAATAGAAGGAAGATAGGGAAGTGATGTTCGTGAGGAAAGTGGTTTCAAGGATTGCTTGATGGGTTATTCTCAAGGTTTAGTAAGATACCTTTTGTATCTCAAAATCCATGAAGTTACTCGTGCCACAATAGTGGACTTCAATGTGCCATACCCATGGACGTAGCCCCTTTGGGTTTGAACAATGTATATTGTGTGTCCTTGTGGTGTGTGCGCCTCTATGTTTTATTTCTCATGCTCTTTTATGATTGACACTTGCCGATTTTTTCTAGCCAGTTAAGTGCACAATCCTAAGGGGATAGCATTATCGGGAATTCCAGTTTCCACATCCAATTGAGTCTTCAAAAACAATAGAGATCATTGTTGGAGAAAATCCTCTCAAATCACTCCCTAAACAAGGAACCTACATGTTGGCATCCATGAGGACATAACAGAATGAGATTACCAATTAGCCAATGACTAGAGGAACCAACTTAGAGAAATGACCTAAAAAACAGACCATCAGCATATAAGAAGGGGTCCCCATTGACCTGAAAAACAGGCTACCACCATATAAGAAGGGGCCTCTATGAGCTACACTGCAACACTGTTAGATATGGTATCTTCACTAAGCAACACTGTCCACCAATGATGAATCAGATCTTCCTCTTTCATTCACGGAACTATTTGCAAATGAGAACCGATTACAAAATGAAGCCATATTACACCATCTCACCATCTTTCTGTTCATATTTTCACACATAAAATAGTTGTTGCTTTTTCATTTCCTACACCTCATGGGGTGATAGAATGGAAAACCATTAAATGGAATTCTTCTATCAAGGAACAAATCATAAGTTCATAACCACCAGCCCATAGAGAGTAACAAATGACACCGACATCACCCATACGGCATCAAAGAGATCCAAAAAGAAGCTCCTAAACTTTGCTTCAAGTAGGCAGTACATAAGATGATCCCTTGTCGATTCAAGCACTTCATCCATGAACCATAAATTTGAGTATTAGAAGCCAGATGCCAAAGATGACCCCATGCCAAGATCTTACAGACGCTAGCTATTCAAACGGATACTAACATACATGTAGGAGTAGGAGCACACTAGACTAAAGAGCTTTCCTGGAAAGCAACACAAAATGACTTGACCAACAACTTACCCATGCTATCCCACTTCCAAAAGAACTCCATCAATTACTGCTTTCAAAACAAACGCATACCTAATCTACCCACACCCAAACCAAACCATTATCATCATCATAACCTTTTCCCAACTATTCAGGGTCAGCTATAGAATCCTAGTCCACCATTCTGCTCTATCAAGGACACAACCAAACTAAACCAATTACGAAAAATACAGGTAATCCCTTACAACCTCCAAATTAGATGCCAGACAAACCCAGCTTCATACGTATATCATAGCAAAACCTGACTCTTTTTTGGGTAGATACGTTTCAAACTTGAGACTTAGTGTTGAATACATCAACACCTGACTCTATAATTATTCCTAGCCCTAAAACTAATTCTTTGAATTGGGCATCGGACAGATTGATCCGCTAGCCAACACCTCACATGCAACATTTAATGGCCATCATTAAATTATACTAAAAAGCAAGGGCATAACAAAGAACCAACAAACTTGGCAATTATAGGTGAGACATGAGGGGCCAACAAAGCTCCAAGTTCCAACCAGCCTTGAGCTGGCTGCTTATTGATTAGGGGGGCTCAAAACCTCCAATGAAACTTAAGGGATCAACTTGAGAATCTAACCCATCGAAAACAAATTTTCCGACCAATTAAGCCAAATTAGAGCAAATAAATTTCAAACCAATTAAGTTAGAGCAGCAACAAAGTTTAGGATTTCGACAATTAGAATTGATTGCAAGATAAATGAACAAAATTGAAGATTTGGACAAGCAGAAGAAACATGTTTACAATACGAACACAAATCACGAAGTACTATAGGACAAGAAAACTACTACTTATAAATTTCTCTTCATATTCTATCTCATTGGAAAAGTCAACTGCTCGAGGAAACTCACAGTTTGCTTCCTTTCCTCTATACACCATAAAACATTAAATATTTCTCTCACGACTGTTTACAGCACAATTTGTGCATTTGCAGCCTATATTTATTTTTTTTTTGAGAATATTGCAGCCTAGATATTCATATCACCATTCGCTTAAAAATCCATTGAAATATATCCAGTCTCCAACTACTTTGAATTCTGTCTAATTCAAATAAAACAACAGACCAATGTGTACGTAAATCAGTTATGGGGTTAACAGCTACAATTAAGTAAGACTCACAACATATTTTCCGGGGTTGCAGGTGTAGAGGAGAATATCAATTCAATCATCAGAGAACATATGCACTCTGCAACTTTTTTTAGCTGGGTAAAAAAGAAAAAAAAAAAAGTTTGGAGAAAGAACAACATGGTAAACCAAGTACGCAACATTTTCTCTCTCAAAGACATAGTTAATTACGCAAAGTAACTCTCTCTCTCTCGTGTGTCTGGATAAACTCACCTGAATAACCGGAAAAGATAACACCCATCTCCTCATGTATATAAAATGAACACCATAAACAATACCGGCAATCGATCCTCGTAACCCTAAGTTCACCAAATTCGGAGCATCCGCAAATGCTGATCCTCCACAAACTGAAATCATAGCAACACAACCAGAGATCGCACAAATTAGGGCAACCAGTAGGCGATCAGCTGATCCCTGAGCTCTTCGCCTCAATTCTAGAGTAGAAGAAGGAGGATACCCTGTGATCAAAACCTGAATCAGTGTTTTTGCCATGTTTACAGATATTTCAGCAGCAGACGCGGCAGGAACATCAACAGGTGACGTGATTATTTTTAGGGCAAGGAAGAAGAGGAAGAGAGAGAGTTCAAAGGTTATGTAAGAAAGGAGACCATAGAGAGAAGGGGATGGATGGCATGATGTGAATGGGAAGAGAACCAGGGTTTTGCAGATGGTCCAGATGATCGTGGAGAATGTGAGCTGCCATAGCAGGAGGCTTAGCCATCGCTTCTTCACTATTTCTGGCTCCATAGTGAAGAAATAGAGAATGGTGCTTGTAAGAAGAATGAGCGAACGATATTTACGTTTACGAAGAGAGAGAGACAGAGAGAGAGAGAGAGAAGAGACAGGAAGCTGAGTTTAAAAGAGAGAGTGGGGATGAAGAGAGAGTGAAGCTGAGTTTAAGGAGGAAAGAAGGGAATGACAGGAGTCTAGACTTCAGAGAGAGAGAGATATAGACAGGATGCTGGACTTCAAAGGAGAGTGAGCAAAGGTTTTAGAGCGAGAGTAGGGCGAGTTGCAGGGTTTAGAGAGAGAGATGAGCGAGTTGGAGGGTTTAGAGAGAGAGATGGGCGAGTTGCAGGGTTTAGAGAGAGGAATGAGCAGGGTCTAGAGAGAGCGAGGAATGGGGTTTAAGACAGAGAGGGGAACTGGGTTTAAGAAGAGAGAGAAGCGGGAACGAGGGTTCCTTTGCACAGGGGTCTACCGAGCTCTGACTTCTAACACCTGACAACAATACACTGTTACTTGCGTCATATTTAAGTATGAAAAGCCAAATAAAACAACGTACAGAGGAGCTTTCCCGTCGATCCTCATCAACCTACGGTGGAGATTAGCTATAGCTCCACCCCTCTATTCATCGACAAATGTATACCGTCCGTTGACCATAATCTATGGTTCATAAAGAGTCAGCATAAACAGCCGGTGTACTCTATGCCTACCGCATATTTTAGAACAAAAATTACAAAAAAATCCCAACAACCTACTTTCAATGCAACATACCCCAACCTAATTTTATCTCAAACTTTTTTTTCAAAATAAACTTTTTATGAAAATACCCCCCAAATTTCAATGCAACATACCCCAACCTAATTTTATCTCAAACTTTTTTTTCAAAATAAACTTTTTATGAAAATACCCCCCAAAAGAAAAAATTCACTTTTTTAGATGAAAATATCTTTCCTATATATATAAAAATCACCAAATTTGACGATAACTTTAGAACTAGTAGCTCAAGATCATTTTGGCTAAATTTGATGTTGACTTTTAGACCTAGTAGCACATTGCTTGAGTGCACCATTACATTGCGGGAGAGCACAAGTGCCAGACTGCCCTAAGACGACTACCGGACCGCTTTTTACATAATGCCGAAGTCCTGGAATTCGGTAATATCGAGTGTCAAACCGCCTTTTACAACTAACGGTACATTACAACTGCTGAACCGCCCTTTGCAACTATCGAACCGCATTTTATACAGTGCCAAAGCCTCGTTATCAGACAGCATTTTACGTAGTGCCGGAGCCCTACTACCGGACCGCACTTTAAACGGAGCCCTACTGTCGAACACACTTACGCCCCTATTTTGGTGGGATCAAAGAGAGAGGCATGGGTAAGGTCAGAAATTTGGTAGGATAGAGGAGAGAGAGGCATGGGTAAGGTAAAAGTAAAGGAAGGTAGTTTAGGCATTATTTTTATTTTTTATTTGGTTGGGGTATTTGCATAGATATTGTATTTTGGGAAAAAAATGATAGGTTAGGGTAAGTTGCATAGAAAGTATGTTTTAGGGGTTTTTTGTAATTTTTCCTATTTTATATAAAAAAAGTATAGAGTGAGACTATTTGTCTTTGATACAAGATGGTCATAATTAATCTTGACTATTGGATGTGAAATTTGGTGGCTACATTTATTGTATTGACAAACTCAAAGTTCAAACTAACTTTTCTCTTTGTGACACATCCAAAGCTATAAGATTTTACATCGGATAGTTAGTAATTGTGACTTCCTTGTTTAAAAGGTAAATGGTCTGATTGTATACAATCTCTTATATTGTTTGGAATGTTAACTAGGGTCTTATGAAAGAATCACCTAGCTACCTTTATCAACTATAACAGTCCAAATGAAGGGAGATCACGACAAATCAAACTGCCCAATGGGCCGAATTTGAATAACAGGTAAACTAGCTAGAGGCAGTTAAAAAAGTGGTAAAAAGTAAAAATAAAAAAATTCCTAAAACAATGAAAAACATATTTAAATAAAGCACATCCAAATGAAGTTGAAAAGTAGTGAAAAAAAAATACGAAATTAATCTATGCTTAGGGGTATTTTGATATTTTTCAAAAAAGATGAAAAAAATATAAAAATAAGTATTTAAGGCAAAAACATTTTACAATCTTTACCAAAATGATAAAAATACATTCAAAACACTGTACAAACAAATCCCATATTTTTTGGGGTTTTGTATATATTTTTTATTTATTTTTCTAAATACCCTGCCATACCACCTAAACCAGCCAAATCCGGATCCATTAATGTGGTTTCGATTTGACTGGTGGTTTCGAGTTGGACCGGTCGACTCTGCGAACCTTGTATAAGTAAGGCGCACTTTTAAATTTTGCTATAAGATGCAGTTCACCTTACGATGGCTTTAAAATATATGTTTAACCCTATATGTGAAATTAAACATTTTGAAAACTGTTCCAATTTGAACTGATCTCTGAAGCCTAAAAAATATTGAAACTAGACGAGACGGCTTAGATAACTTGTTACAATATGTATTATTTTTATGACTTAATATTCTTTTTTTTTTTCTTTATATCTATATATATGTCGAGGTCGAAATGATCAATTTGAAGGTTTTCTAACTTTAGTTCACTCTTTTCTACTATATTTTTTAGGTGCACCTTACTTCAATAAAGTTGCAACCTTATATAAATTTTTTCCTACAATTATAGGGAAGTGATGGAAATTCAAGAGGCAAAAGAATACCATAATTAAACCATGATAAATATATGATATCCAAAATAAATATATGATTTTATTTTACATCTTACACCTTAAAAAGCATAATACTGCATGTTATATGACAAGCAATTCCACATCAATAAGAGCAAGGGAAGTTACACAAAGATTTTTTTTTTTGTCACAATCACATTTAGCCATTAACCATAAAAATAGGGGATACATAATTGAGAGGTTGAACTTGTACCACTGACTAATGCAAAAAAAATTCCCCACATTTTATAAGCTATTGGATGTAAAATTAGGTGGTTGACACTATACTATCGTCTACTAAAAAAAATAGAACCTTAGTTTTAATTTGGTGAACAATGGCACACCAAGAGTCCAATTTTACATGGGACAGCTAGCGACAAAAAATAAATGGGTGTGGTTTGTATAAGGCTGAGGCTATAAACAATTTAGTTAAATTGCATAAATAGTGTCGAAAGATATTGTTTCAATGCTGGAAATCTTTACGATGTCCATGATATTTATTTTCATCTCTAATTTAAAAATTTAAAGCTTAAAAAATAGTGTAGATCGAGCAAATCTATAAACACTTGAAAATCTTGAAAATTGATGGTCCGAAAATGTATTACAAAATGCACTGTTTCTAAGACTTGAAATCCGGTTTTTCTCATATCCATGCATATTGAGGAGGAGATGATAAATTTGAGGATTTTTGGACATTGAAACAACCTCTCCCAATTAAAATTTTAAGGTGCGCATTAAATTAATTGTTTAGGGCCTCGCCCTTATATAAACTTCTTCCAATATAATATCATCATTAAATATTATGTCACCTTTAGAATTTTGTTTGAATACAGAGAGGTGCTATAGTACCTAACCCTTCAGCAATATATTATAGACAATCCGATTTTAATGGGTTGTAATCAAATCGTGTAGCTATGGCAATTTTTAGATTGGCAGCTACTATTGTTTCGAAAACAAAGGATTGCCTTCAAAGAGGCTATTTACCTTTTATACGATGATCATTATTGTCTCTTAAATTTAAAATAAGTGGTTGTAAGAGTGTTATTAATTCGACATAAAGTTCCAAAAAAAAATGATTGGACTTCATAACTCAGTCCAAGCCATCTTTTTTTTTTATATTTAATAAGTAAGAATAGTTATGACCTCATTGTACAAATGATAAATAGTCTCCATATAGACAATTTTCGACAACAATATTAATTTTTTAACCATAACCTATTAGAAAAAAGTTGTATAGGGTTGACACCTTATATTATAAAATTAAGGTGCACCTCAATAATCCATTAGAAAAATGTTGTTTTGACATTAAAAAACCATCTAATTGATCATCTCGACATTGAGATGTATATATATTAAATTAAAAAAATATTCTAAGCATAAAAAATAGTACATCTTGCAACATATTATATGGATAGACCATTTTCAAGATGTTCATGCCCTTATAGGTCCGCTTGATTTGAACTACTTTCGTACTATACAATTTTATAATTAGAGATGAAGATTCTTGAGTCACCCTAAGAAATTTTGACACGAAAATTACATCTTATGACAATTTTGAGGTGTGTCTTACTTTAATTGTTTAAGGTTGTAACTTTATGCAAACCACACCATATATTGTATTTAAATGATATCATATACAGGAGGAATAATTACAATATAGAAAAAAAAAAATCAATAAATTAATCAATCAGCCACTAGGTCATTACGGTCCCGTCCTTGCTAGAAGGTCAGCTGTATTTATTTGTACTCCATCTTTTGATATCCTACATTTTATTTCATCAAGGTAGAGGAATCAATCTCCAAGGAACCCTAAACTATGTGAAACAAGGATGTTGGCCAGAGATTAATTGAGCAATTTAGTGATATAATAGGTGTGATTTATGATACGTATTATGTTCTAAGTAAGAAGGATGAAGTCATCTGAGACATCCCTTCAGGTGAGCTCTCAGTCAGTTTGCTGGTCATCTCCTCTACACTAACACACCAGGGACCTTCGATTACTCGGTGATAAAGGCTTGGAGTCTTCCGGTACCTTTTAAGGTCCAAAGTTTGTCATAAGATGCAATTTTGGCATCAAAAGATTTTAAGACAGATCAATAATCTATTTTCATACCTAATTATAAAAGCTGAAGCTTTAAAAATGATTCAAATAAAGCAGATCTATAAACACAAAAATCTTGAGAATGAACCAATAATGTATTGCAAGTGTACCATTTTTGGGATTTAATTTTTTTTTTTTTCATATTCATATATCTCGATGTTGAGAAGATAAATTTGATAGTTTTTAAACGCCAAAATAGCATTTTTTTGAAAGACTTTTGAGGTGTAGCTTAGTTCTTTAGTAAAAAAAAGTGCCAACCTTTTATAAACTTTTCCAAACATTGAAAGTTAAAACAAAGTAAATAGTAGATGCCAAAAAGAGGCATGGAGGGTGGTAACGCGGTATAACCAAGTAGCGTCCCCTAATTTATGGCGTAATATCTACACAATATATAATATATACATTACCAAATTGCCAATTCTCTAAAAGCGTGTTTGGGTGACAATTAATTGTCTGGACCATACCATCTTATCTAAAATTAATAAGTTTTGTCTAATATTATATTATATATAGTATTACTTGGTTATTTAATATCCATGGTGATTTTCAACTGTTATTGGTTAGGAAAAAGTTTATATGAGGTTGCAACTTTAAAATATAGAACTACAGATACACCTAAAAAAATCCATTGGAAAATGTTGTTTTAATGTTGAAAAACTCTCTAGTTGATTATCTCGACATTGAGATGTATGACTATGAAGAAAAAATGGATTTTGAGTGCAATAAATAGTGCACCTTACAACATATTATCTAAACCGTCTATTTTCAAGATTTTCATATGTTTATAGATCTACTTGATTTTAACTATTTTTTGAAGTTTAAAATTTTATAATTAGGTATGAAAATAGATTTTGAGATAATCCTAAGAATATTTTACATCAAAATTGTATGCTATGATTAAATTTGAAGGTACACCTTAATTGGATTGTTTAAGGTTACAACCTTATGGAAACCGTTATTCTGACTAAAAACATGTGATGTTTAGCGGATTACTATGAATAAAGTAAAAGGTTTTTTTTTTTAAAAAAAAGCCTCATATGAAAAACCACCTATAAATTAATCAAAAATAATTTTATGATGGACACTGCCAAACAAGAGATAATTAGTCATCACAAAAAATTTTGATCAAAATAATTGGTTATTAGTGATAGTATATCCAAACGGGCCCTAATTGGTCTTTTTAGACTCTCCACCTCTTGGTCAACAGGATCCAAAAGGCTTCAAATCGTTAAAAAAAGCGGACATGCATTTAGATGAACCCCAACCTTAATAGAAACACATCTTCCCTTTCAGCACTTGCAGAGTAAATTTCTTGTCTCTTCTTTATTTATTATTTACAGGTGAAGTTTGTACGAGGTGTCAACCTTGAATAATCAAAGTAAGACGCATCTTCAAATCATGCCAAAACATGTAGTTTCAAAGCTTCAAAAGTTTGCAATGATCTGAAAATTCTATTTTTATCTATATTTGAAAATTTTTAAATTTCAAAAATAGTACAGATATAGCAGATCTACAAATACACGACAATCTTAAAAATGGACTGGCCAGATAATATAATACAACATGCATTGTTTTCATGACTTGAAAGCCTTGTATTTTCACATTCATAATTCTGAGATAGAGGTCATTAATTTGGGATTTTCTTAGCATTGGATCAGATGGATTTTTTAGGTGCGCCTTACTTCTAAACATAAGGTTATACCTTATACAAAACTTTTTCCTCTAGATAAACACATGAGAACTAATATCCCGAATCCTTTATTTTGGCTCTAGTTGGCTCCATTTTTTGGGTTTTAGTAGTTTTGCTAAAAGTGGCTAAAGATTAAAACAAAAAAGAAGAGGAAAACACACTTTATCAACAAAAGACAATAATATTGTCTAAAGCACGTATATGGAATGGTGAGTGCATATTTCCAAGAGTGTTCCCCAACAGGCAAATATAAAGTTGGGACATCGCCATCAAGGAATCCAAACGGGCATAAACTTCTATACGGAAGATCCGAGCCTCAGCAATAAGAAGTCCTAGATATGGGTGGCAATGGGCTGGTTGGCCTGGCCTGGCCCTAAAAAACTTGTGGTTGGACCACAGAATGTGGCTCGAGAGCTTTGTCGAGCCTGGCCTAGACTGAGACCATGACAGGGGCAGCCCGATTTGGTCATCATTTTCTTTATTTTTTGTCTTTTTTTATTATTTATTTATTCTATATAGCGCCACTTGGCCCTAGTAGGACTAGGCATAAGCATGGGTCACGGCCTCTCTAGCCAGGTCCACACCGTGTTGGTCCTAGGTTAGCCCTGTTGTGGTCAAATGTGGCCCAAGGCTGGAAGTAGCCCGGGCCACTGCCAGCTCTAGATCCAGTTCATAGCTCTCCCCTTAACGAAGGATCCATGATCTTAAGTATAATTCTACTTGTGTTTAGGCATTGTCTACTTAACAAAATCTAATAAATGTGGAGATATATATCGCATGATGGTTTGTTTTCTTTGTTTCTCATTTCTAATTATGATTAGATACTTTGATCAAAACTTACTAAGAACAATACTACCACTATAATTACCAACAATTTGTTGAACGATACTACCACTATAATTATCAATAATTTGTTGAATGCATCATTGTTACACTTGTTTACTCTTTCTTAATCTTTTATGTCAAAATATTTCATCCTACCACGGGAGGATACTATCCATTTCCTCCCTCCGGCAAAATATATGCTATGGATACTTTTTGTATTTTTAAATTTGGGGATGCAATCTTTATAACCATAGAATAATCTTGGCAAAAAAATTCCCAAAACAAGCTCTCTATGCACTAGGAAAAACTTATGCCTTAACATTGGATAGAGAAAACTTATGCCTCAAGATTGAATAGAGTTTGATGGGCTAGATCTAAGTGTCACATAACTTAAAATTCAATTTTTTCTTTTAAAAATACTTATCTACTAATTATTATGTGTTTCTAAAAAAAAAAATAGATTGAAAAAATTCTCATGTTCTGAACAAGGGAGGAGATGAATGCTCCCACGAGAGCATAGTATGCATACTGAGAAGATGGTCACAATAGTTAGGGCTGTAAATAGATGTTGTGTCGACTCAATTGGGCCTAAGTTCAACTTGCACCCATCCCGGATCACTGTTGGGTCTAGATCAATTGGACCCTAACCCGATCTATTAGGCCAAGGTATAGAAAGAAAGAAAAATGGCTTGATAAGGCTGCAACCTTGTTGGGTCCAGGTCAATTGGACACTAACCTGATCTACTGGGCCAAGGGTATAAAAAGAAACGAAAATGGTTTGATAGGGCTGCAGCCCTATCAAAATAAGTAAAACCTCACCACATAACTCATCAAAAATTGCAATTCAAGTATTGAAAAACCTTTAAATCGATCATCTCAACTTGAACATTATAGCAGTGGAAGAAATATGGGATTTTAAATTCTCAAATTAGTGCATATTGCAACAAATCATCCAGACCATCCATTTCACCCTAAAAATAAATATTCATAAATCCACAAAGATTCGTACCATTTTATGAGTTTCAATTTTTTGTTGTCGATTGTAGAAATTAATTTTAGAGCCATCATGAAGATTTTCGATTTCAGATGTGCTTTCTGGATAAAGATTTGAGGTGAGGCTTTATTTTGTTTTCATAAAGCCTACGCCCTATAGAAACGCCATCTAAAAAGAAAACACTATATTTTTATAAAGGGTTATATTAGGGTGTTGACACTACGGAGTAATTTATAATTATATTAAACAATTTTGGACTCTTCTATACCATTGTTTTGTACATAAAGATTATCCCATGAGCACCTTAACATAACCTTTTTTATAAAATACTAATTGACGTACAATTATATATATTACATGTATATATATGGGGTCGGATCAGTTAACCTAGATCCAAACCTATCCCAAAACAGAACTGCCCATGTTGGACTCCATCTGACCTAACCCACAAGGTCCATTTCAAGGGTCTGGACCCTATCTCGGCTCGGGTTCATCATGGACCCGAGCCAATTGACATAAACAATGAGAAATGCCGAAACCAAATACAATTCAAATATGTTGTACGAGACAGAGAGAGCCCCATTATGAACCTGTTGCAAAAAGTAAGAAAATTAGAAAGAGATTGGAGCAGGTATGATAGAAAGAAATGGGAGCTCTCTCTCTCTCTCGAGAAGCCCCCAACAACCATAATCACCAATTATTTTTGCAATATCCCAGGGCTCCTCAGTACACCTATTATTTATAGGATTTTATACTTTTCAAGTTTTCATTCATTATTTATTATTAAATTTATATTGTTTATTCAAACAATTCAAAACATAGCGCACAAGGCATGTCGTTGATTGAAAAAAGAAAGCTTTTATTCTCTCTCTAACGCGTTGCGAGAGAGGGGTGCCAACAACTCAATTCCACCCTTTTGAAGCAAATGTACCTGAGACGAGCCATTTATTTTGCAGAGATCGCTTACTTTGAAGAGAGAGAGAGAGAGAGAGAGAGAGTTCGTATTTCTAGAGAGAGAGAGTTCGTCTTTCTAGAGAGAGAGAGCTTGGTGAGGAAAGGCAAAGGGATGCAATTCTCGATGGTGTTTAGAGAAAGAGACGGTGTTTGCTGTTGCTTGGAGTTCACAACACGATTAAACGAGGCTAAATAGCTGCTATGTACTTATAGGGTTTCGCGTTTTGATTAAGTACTGGGATCTGGTGATCAGATCCAGGGCTTAATCTTTTTGCTTCTCTCTTTACTTTTTAATGGATGCCACTTCTCGGCCCGCTGTTGTCATCGACAATGGAACAGGGTATTTTCCTCCACTCTCTCTCTAACCATTTTAAGCCGAATTTCCCACCATTTGTCTTCTCTATAGCAATTGCATGTCTCTCTCTAGACCAATGTTTCGCCCTATTTCTCCGATTTTTATTCTCTAAGCGCCATTGCAAATGTTATGATTGGTAGACAGTGTCTGCCCGTCTGTCCTGTATTGTTTGCTTCGCGATTCTGTTAATAAAAACGCATAAATTCATTTGTAACTGAATGATTTTCGTTCACTCATTCATTTCTGATGAACTCTTTCTGTCTGCAAATTTACGGTGATATTGATTTTTTTGGGTAACAAGGTATTACTCCACTTATTGTATCTGGATTTGTTCTATTACCTTGCTTAGATACTGGACAGTCTGTTTTAACCAACATATTGGAGAGCTAATGGTTACGTATCAATACCGTCTTTATTCTTTTTTTGGGTTGGTGTTCATGTAGATTGGGTAGTCTGTATAATGATTAGTTATGCATCAACATCGTCTTCTTCATTTGTTAAATGCTGAGTAACTTGGGCCATATTCAATCCAAATAATGCTGGAGTTAGTTAGTTACTTGTAAAATTTCATTATTTGTACGAATTCTAATCTCTCTCTATGCGTGTGTATGTAGAAAGAGAGAATATGTGTGTGTGCATGTGTGTCTGTAGAGAGAGAGAGAGAGAGAGATTTTATATATGAGCTAATATATATATATATATATTATCATCATCATCATCGTCGTCCTCGTCAAAGCCTACATGAATCCTGGTCTGCAATTCTGCTCTATTAAGGGCCATAACCTTAGTGAGGCCATACATCCTCATATCTTTTCTCACTACTTCCAAACTTATGTCCTTTTGGGTCTGCCCCTTGCCCCTTTTTTAGCCTTCCAATTGAACTAACTCACACCTCCTAACAGGTGCTGTATTGGGTTTGCACCACACATGGCCAACCCTCTTAAGTCTACTCTCTCTCATCTTATCACCTATTGGTGTCACACCAAAATTTTTACAAATGTATTCATTTTGAATTCTATCCCTTATTGTCTTGCCACTCATCCATCTCAACTTCCTCATCTCCGCTACACTCATTCTATGGGTATATTGTTTTTTGACCGTCCAATATTCTGCCTATAAAGCAAAGCTGGTCTCACAGCTGTCCTATGGAAGTTGCCCTTATATATATATAAAAGTGGTGTCATTGGATAGTCTCATGTGTAGATTGGTGAGTAAGAAAAGAGCAATGTCACCTATGTGCCCTTGCCAAATGCTACAAAAAAATGAAACATTTTTCTGCTCTTATTTTGAGTTTGCTTGCTGATGGTTGGGAGGAATAAATAATACATGAATGTTTAGTTGTTGATTAAATCAATTATACATGAGACTGCTGACTAAATATATATTTGCAAATAAATCATTACATTTGTTAGTCCTATGGCCTAGCTGTTGCATTTGACATTGTCTGGCATTCTATTACATGCTTTTGATTATTATGGGGTCCAAAACCCATAATTAAGATTAAAGAGTACCTAAGACTTATTTATGGCTGATGGGTTTTATGTTCTTCCTTCTTCGACTGTACCTTTCAGTATACAATTTAACACTTCTGATTATATAAAAGAATGATTTGAAGATATTTATAGAGACCAGATGCCCATCTGTCGACACTTCTTTCTTGATTTTATAGTTATACAGTCAAGACCTACTATTCTTTCTGCATGTTTTGATTGAACTGTTAACTAGTATTTCTTATACTTTAATGACCAACATAGTCCTCTGAACTCTCGAGGAATTTTGATGGAATATGATATCTGTATATTGCACCCTGTTATATTTTGAGTTTCTGAACCTTGAACACTGTTGCATCTGATTGAAAACATCTTCTGGGCTTTCTCTCTTGGCCTCAAATATATACATTCTTGTGAGCATTGACTAAGGGAACCATTGGCGTTTGACTTTGACCTATGCGAGGGTTTTACTTGTAGGTACACCAAGATGGGTTTTGCAGGCAATGTTGAGCCATGCTTTATTATCCCAACAGTGGTGGCAGTGAATGAATCTTTCCTGAATCAGTCAAGGGTGTCAAGTAAAGGAAGTTGGTTAGCACAGCACAGTGCAGGTGTCATGGCAGACCTGGATTTCTTTATTGGAGATGAGGCTCTATCCCGATCTCGCACAAGTAGCACTTACAATCTTAGCTACCCCATCCACCATGGGCAGGTAAGATTTATTTCTTCTTTCTTTCTGTCTTTCTTCTTTTCAAATTAACATGAATTTGAATCTTGTTGCTTCTTGTTCTGGACAGTTTAACAAATATGTCTATTTCTTTCTTGGGTAGGTTAGCTCTTAGGATTTGCTCTTTTGTCACAAAACTCATATTCATGACTTCGCATTCTCATAGGAGAATAGTTTTGATTATCCTTATTTTTTTATTGCAGGTGGAGAATTGGGATACTATGGAGAGATTTTGGCAGCAATGCATATTCAATTACTTGCGATGTGACCCGGAGGATCACTATTTCCTTTTAACAGAGAGCCCTCTAACTGCTCCTGAGAATCGTGAATACACAGGAGAAATTATGTTTGAAACCTTCAATGTCCCTGGGCTTTATATAGCAGTGCAACCTGTCCTTGCCCTTGCTGCTGGATACACTACTTCCAAGGTTGGTATTGATCAGTAGCCATCTTTGTCAGCCTCTAGTTACTGGCCCTTTCCTGAATAACCAGTCCACATGGGATATTTATGGGACTGGCAGATTTGTATCATGTTCTATTTCGGTAATAAGAAGCGCATGAGATCCTTATTTTCTCTGGTGTTAGCAGCTCATAACTCTTCCAGGATTTCATTGTTTTTTCATAAAATCCAGGGTGCTAGTGCTTCTTAGGCTTCTTTATGTATTCTCCAGATCCTGATGTGCTAGATAATGATGCAAAAAGCTGCAAATATTTCAAATTAGTATTGTTTTTTTTGATAACCTATTTCAAATTAGTATTGTTTTATGTGTGAATTTAAATTATTTACAGTTTTACTAATTGCTGGTCATGTTGTGCTTCACAACTTGATATCAAGTATCTGATGACTCCATAACAGTATTATGTTCTCCACACAGCTCAAATCTCCTTTGTACCGGTCTTTGCTGTGGTTCATGATTGTCTGTTCTATCCTGATTATGTGAATCTATATTTTTATGTTTAAATGATAGTGCTAGTTCTTATTCTCTAATTTTGTAATCAATAATACAGACTTTCATCTATCTCACTCCCCCTCCCCGGGTTTCCCCATGGTGTCTTATAAAGTTTATTTTCTTCAGTGTGAAATGACAGGAGTGGTGGTGGATGTTGGGGATGGGGCTACGCATGTAGTACCGGTGGCAGATGGTTATGTGATAGGGAGCAGCATCAAATCTATCCCAATTGCTGGGAAGGATGTTACTCTCTTCATTCAGCAACTCTTGCGGGTAAGACATTTAGGCTTATTAGGGGAAGATCGCAATCATTTATGACCAACTTGGTTTCTGGGATAGACCACTTAAAGTTTTCTGCATTTAACCCATAAGTCTATCACAATATTCAATATTTTCTGTTGCAATTTCCTGAAAAAGATAATTATTTTGTTTAACTGGATTACAAATGGCTTTTATATTAAAATATCAGTACGGTATTATTGCCAATATCAGCCTTGTGAGAATGGTAGTTGACTTGTGAAGTCATGGCTATGGATTTGGTTTGACAACATGCTCTCTCTGCAACCACCACCACCACCACCCACCCCCCCCCAAAAAAAAAGAAGAAAAGATAAGAGAGAGAGACCTTTGGGAGATCCTCCCAAAACCTTCCCCTCAGATTGCCTCTTTTGTAGTCAGATGCCAAAGTGATGATTCCTTTCTGTCATTTTGCATCTCTCTCTCTCTCTCTCTACACTAAGGATTTGAAATTCTTCCCTGGTTCCTTTTATCCACAATCTTGCCCTATTAAAAATTCTGTAAATGGTTCAAGACGTGTTATTTTCTTCTAATGTTGCATTCTGGAAATGGTGGTGCGTGTTGTTTTTATGTTGTTCTCATGAATTTTGAGGTAAAGCTGCAGGTTTTGTATCTCTTCAATAGAATTTCAGCTTTTCTTTGCCTCCCATAAATTGTATTGAAAGACAACTAACTGTGAATATTATATGAAACCATGAAACACATCATTGTCATAGAGATAAACTGTCACAAAATTTTTTTGACTGTCATTCCTTAAATATGGTGAGGCAGAATAGAAATCTTGAGGGTTTTTTCATCTTATGCATGCCAAAATGAATGTTTGCTGGAATGTTGTCTTTGAGCATTTATTTATTTTGAATGATCTGTTTTTGAGGAATAAAGGGGATTAACCATGACATATCTAATTTATTCAAGGTTTCAAGCAATGGCCCGCCTAGTGCCTAGGCACCCAAGAGGCCATAGGCCGCCTAGTTCTAGGCGGAAGTTCTTGGGTGCCCACCCGCGCAAATGCCCAGTCCTGGGTAGGTGCCCAAGAACCGCCATAAAAATGACAGAAAAAATAAAAACTCTTTTGGGGGGGCATTCTGGGTCATTTTGACCCATTCAAAAAGGAAACGGGGGATATTCTAATCCCCCAAATTAAAAGCACTTTTCATATTCCCTAGAAACACCCAAAATCAATTGATTTTGTGATTCTTTTTTAAATCAAGAAATTTTGAAAAGTTTGTAGAATCATCTGAAGCTTTACCATATCTTATTGAAATCATTTTTAGGTTCAACTGAGACTATTTTAAGACTTTTGGGGTGATTTTGAAATGTGAATTGATATGAAGAATTGAATATCACCTCTTTCTTTTCTTTTGTATTGGTCATTTGGTCTTATTGGATACTTGGGAGTCCATGAGTATGATTGCATGAAGTATGGACTAAATAGTGTGTTTAAGGACACTAACTCACTAATACATTATGGACTTGGTTTTGTTTTTCACTTTTTCAATTATTCAAAGAATCAAAATTTTCAGTGATTTGAATGTGTTTCAACATTCATGTGCATATATTTGTATAAAAAAGTTGATTAGAATACATATAGTAAAAAGATTTCCTCCTCCCTAGGGAGGAATTTATCCATTTCCTCCCTCGGGCAAAACACATGCTATGGATACTTTCTAGATCTCAATTTTGGGGATGTAATTTTTAGAACCCATAGAATAATTTCGGCAAAAAAACCCCGAAATAAACTCTATGTACTAGAAAAAACTTATGCCTCGAGATTGAGTTGAGACTGTCCAATTTTTTTAGGGCTAGATCTAAGTGTCACAAAACTTAAGATTCAAATTTTTTCTTTTAAAAATAATCATCTTATAGTTACTATGTTCCCCAAAATTTTAAACCAAAAAAATTCTCCTAAATAGGTGTTTTGAGCAAGGTAGGAGATGCGCAATATCCTCCCTAGGGAGCATAGTATATGCGCTCAAACATATAAATGCATACATATACATATTTGACACATGTATCTGCATGTATGTGCGTTTGGACAACATATATATGCATCTTTGTGTATATCTAAAACCTGAGGGCACCTGAGGTTCTAGGCGGCTGCCTAGGCACCTACCTCGGTGGTGGACATCCTAGACCCCCCAGCCGCCTTGGGGCTGCCCCACATTTTTTGTAACCATGAAACAAACAAAGCTGCATCTGAAAAATGCAGGTTGAGCTCTAAAATTTTCTGTAGACAATACGGAGAAGCATATAACCTATAATACAGATTGATTCTGATGCATGTCTGCTTTTGATAAATTGTATACTTGAGTCTACTGCATTAATTCTAGTTTGGTGGAAGGACCTTGGATTCTGTTTAGACTGTAGGTATTTAACTATTTTTGGTTTCTTTGTAATGCATAGTGTTTAAAACATCTAACTTTTGAAGCAAAAGCCCCACTGACGAATGGTGGAGCTGGAATAAGCATTTCACTATTTCAGTTGCAATACAGGGCATGGTTGATTTATTATAAGAATTCTTTATGCTTCGTGACCATCATAAGCTCTGTGAATAGCCCCCTGCAGTTAATTTCATTTTGAAATTATTTCATATAGGAAAGAGGAGAACATATTCCACCAGAAGATTCCTTGGAAGTTGCACGGAAGATTAAAGAGATGTACTGTTATACTTGTTCTGACATTGTCAAGGTACTTATTCCCTCAAATAATCCAGTTAATTATGGGAATGTTGATTTTCTGCTATGGTACTTGTTGGCTATCTATGTTATCTATGAGGCATCCATTTCGGACTATTTATTTATTGTCATTGGATTTTTTTTTTTTTGCATAAGCATATTCGAGGGAAGTGTTTTGATGGATTTGTCTCATTTATGTTAGGTTTGCCATATATATATATATATATGGGGTGCTGTTTGTATAGAGCCTAGGCACTAAACAATCAAATTAGAGCCTACCTTAAATAGTGTCAAGAAATGTGGTTTCAATAATGGAAATCTTTGTGATAGCCTTAAAATATGTTTTCATTTTTATTTATAAAGTTCAAAGCTTCAAAAATAGTGTAGATTGACAGATCTATGAAAACTTGAAAATATTGATAATTGACAGTCCAAAAAATGCGTTACAAAATACACTATTTCCGAAATTTGGAATCCATTTTTTTCTCATGTCCATGCATCTTGATGTCGAGATGATCAATTTGAGGATATTTGTGTATCAAAACAACCTCTTCTAGTGAAATTTTTGAGGTAGGCTCTAATTTGATATTTTAGAGCCTCGGCTCTATATGAACTTTTCCCATATATATCTATCTATCTATTTATATATATATATATTTGTCTTCTACAACAATTGGTTTAAATTAGCAAATAGTTTAATAAGATGTGATTAGATCAAAGAGGCCGTGTTCAATTTATAATTTACTTAATTTCAGCTTTACTTTTTTAATGATATGCGTCAAATATTTGAGTTCCAAGCTAATCTCCTCGTTGACCCTTCTTGACTCCATTTTGCCCATCTCTCTGATTCATCCTCCAACCGCTGACTGATTTTGATTACCAATTACCAATTACCAATTAGGACATGTCTTTATATGCTAAAAAAGTAGCATTTAGACCAAGCACAAAGGTCAGATTGGACAGCAATGCTTTTATATGTAATACTGTCATCAAGATCTGGATATGGTGACCCACTAGGTGATTTTTGTGTGTAGAGTTTGGTAGGTGTGTGTAACTTGCAGACAGTCCGTCTTATTCTGGTTTCTGGATGGGGGAAAACAGCATTATAAAGTTTTATCCCTGATAACTCTCGTTTTATGTACAAAGTTGACCGAATCACTTCAGATAAGCATACCACACGGCAGTATTATCTGACTTATGTGTGACTTAGACTGGGCCTTATATGGGTTGTTTGACCTTTTTGCTGGATTCTTTATTTATTGAACCTTGGTGGTCTTTTAGCACGATTAATTCGACCTTATGAAATATATAGTTGTTTGACCTATTTGGTAGTTCTTCATTAATTTAGCCTTATGGTTTATGATGCGTCACATATTTCTAAGTGGCTTTCTGTTTGCAAGAAGTGTCTATGTAATTTTAATTGTAGCTGATCCACAACCACATGCTTGTGTACACATGTATGATACCATCACAAATAATGTTCAAGATGTTGAGCTTTAACTTTGCTGGAAAGGAATGGAGTAGATATGTGAATTCTTGTTAAATACATGGAGTCACTAACTTAAAAATGGTACTATGTAGATAGCTAAACATTTAAGCATAAGCTTGATCTGTTTATTAGTTTTTGATTGATATTCTTCTCAATCTGCTGATAATTCTGGAATCTGGAGCCTCAGACAGAGAGAAATGTACACAAGCAATTTGTTCTGTTTACGAGTTGCACAATATTAGGTGGCCATCTAATGTTAGAATAGTCAGCAAAATATCTCAAACAGTCAAACTCATCTTACTTTGAGCTTCATGTATAGTTGAGGTCAATGTTCAAAAAATGGATTGCTGACCTTCATCCTGAATTGGCAGGCCGGATCGGTGGATCAGCTGAATCAGCCCTTTCTGGCCTTAAAGAAATTTCAAAAAGTATTAAAGATCGTTATAAATGATGTTTTTTGGATTTTCAATAAAAATGCAGGTAGTGCAATAGGAATTTTCATTGTCTTTGCAAAAATACGTGAATATTGATATGTCGTTACCTATTTGAATGTCCATCTACCATTGAATATTTTATGGTTTTCAAACTCTCAAATTCCCATTGAGAAGATAAGGGCAGCCACTAATCCTAGGACGTCTCTCTCTCTCTTGCACACACCCAAACACAAATTGAACATCTCTTTCTCATGCCACACATATTGAACATCTCTCCCTCTCTCTCTCTCTCTCACAAACATGCACACACAAAAACAAACACATTGGATCTCTCTTCTTTTTTTTTTGACAAACAAACATTGGATCTTTCTCTCTCACACACACACATGTTGGGCCTTTCTCTCTCTCACGCATCTTTATGATCATCATCATCATAGCCTTTTCTCTCTTATACCCATATACACACTAAATGCATTGGACATCTATTTCTCCCTCGCATAAACATTTTGGACTACTCTCTCTCTCATGCATCAACAAAAAAACAACTAAAAAGAAATTGTCTGATCTGGAAAGAAGAAAAAATACTGAGCAAACAACATTTGCCCACTCTTTCTTTTTAGGAACTTCTAATCATAGCTTAAAATTGTGACTAAAATTGGATGATTTTGGCATCAATTTTGATGGTATTTTAAAAAAAAGTCTTTCTTATTCTAGAGAGAGAAGAATTGTTTTCGTGGCCCAACATTTCAGTAATTGTTTCAACTACAGCAGTTTAAAAAGCCGTAATAAACCAAAAATTATTTCTCGTTAAACTTGTTACAAGAGCATGATTTTCTCTCTCAAGATTTTTTCTCTCTTTACCTCTCGGAAGTTTCTCATTGAACTTGTTACAAGAGCATGATTTTCTCTCTTTACATCTCGAAAAGTTGAACACCCTTTTGTTTTTCCTTTTGAATGTTTCGACACCCTTATAGTCCCACGTCGGGGACTTGTAAGGGTTAAGTGGGGGCATGGGCCTTATAAAAGGGCTCCATACTGACGTAAACTCTAGTGAAGATGGGGAAGATCCCATCGTGGAGGTAGGACACGTGTTCCTATAGGCCGAGGGGTGGCCACCCGCCTTCAAAAAAAAAATTGGATTCAAAGTTTAAGAAACTAGATAAGGACAAAGGAGGGTGGGCCCCACCACCACCTCTCTCTTCAATAAAAAAAATTTTCAATTTTTTTTAGAAAAAGGTGGCCGGTTCATAATAGAGCTGTCCAGTTCCAAACAGAACAATCTGGTTCGTTGAGAGAACCAGCGAACCGGCTGGTGTCCGAGAACCATACAGTTCTCTCTAGGACCAGTTGTTTCCTGATATTTACAGGGAACTGGCACAGCCTAGCTGCTTCCCTGGTCGGATCGGCCGATTCCCACTTGGAAAGCCGATTTTTAAAACCTTGGTTGAGGTGGTGTTCATCTATTATCTTGATACATGGGGTCATATATAGACTTTGATTTGCACTTGTAGAGTATTATGGGCATATTGTAAGGTGGTTGAATCCTCTTTATGTGATTCAGGAGTTTGGCAAGCATGACAGAGAACCATCAAAGTACATTAAGCATTGGACTGGAATCAAAGCAAAGACTGGAGCACCATACTCATGCGACATTGGCTATGAACGTTTTTTGGGTCCTGAGGTTTGGAAACATATTTTGCCTTCTTTTAAATTTTAGAATTTTTTAGCATACTCAGAATTTGCCTTTGTTCAAGATAAATTAATTTATGATTGAAATGATGAATAGACGGCTTTGAGTTGATATAGTGTAGAAAATTTTCTGTTTATATGTGATTGATAAGTTCAAGAGCATAGTTAATCTGCCTTTCCCTAAGGTTATATTTGGTTCGCGTGAAATATTTACATATGCAAATACTTTACCTGTGTAAATATTTGCATATGCATTCTTTTTACCATGTTTGGTAGCACATTTAAAAGGCATTGTGTAAACAGTTACATATGATTGGTACTTTGGTAGTATTTGGTTGGTGTGAAAATATTTACACAAAACGCCAAGAGATACTTGTTCCTGTTGGAAAAAGCAAGTAAATAGCAGGATTACCATCAGAAGCTAGACAAGATATGAATTGCCCAAGGCAGGCATTTGGCAGCAGCCAACTGCTAAATTACCATCAGAAGCTAACCGAGATATGAACTGCCCAAGGCAGGCATTTTTCAGCAGCGAAATGCCATGAGGCCATTGGCATATTGTTTTTTTCCTCCACATAAAGGCAGGGAAGACCTTGGGAGGGTATTGCAACCCCCATTTCTCCCTAATTTATTTTTTTCATGAATACCAAATGGAACCAACTTGGCCAAACTTAAATTTCAGCCATTATGAACTGATTTGCACTGAAAACAGTCAAAGTTGAGGCCTTCTACTAAAAAATTAGATTCATGATTGGGTTGAATTGCATTAGTTTCATCTTCCATTTTGAACTACGAACTACTCTGATGGTTTGATGAGCTTAGCAGTGTTTTTGTTCGTCTTTCAAACTATTTAACCAAGAGTTGCCTATCTCAAACCAAGTAAATTTCTGGCACATTCCAGAAGAGGTTAGCAATTAGGGCACTGGTTTTCTTGCCTAGGGATGGGGCTTTTAGGTAGAGAGAAAGAGAGACAAGGGACACACGAGAGAGAGGCCTCTGGTTTTCTCGCAGCAGAGGGATGGGGCTTTTAGAGAGAGAGAGAGACAAGGGCCACAGGAGAGAGAGAGGGCTGTGGTTCTCTTGTAGAGGGATGGGGCTTTTAGATAGAGAGAGAGACAGAGGGTCACAGGAGAGAGAGAGGGCTTTGGTTTTCTCATATAGGGATAGGCTTTTTGAGAGAGAGAGACGAGAGTCATGGGGGAGAGAGAGGGCTCTGGTTTGCCCTGCGATGGGGCTTTTTAGAGAGAGAGAGACGAGGTTCATGGGGGCTTTTGGATTTAAGTGGATTGATAAAAAATTTCGGGTCCACAGTATTTGACGGAAGCATGGGAGATATTACCATACCACACCTCATGAGGTGTGGTTTCATTTTACCTTGTGTTGGCCTTTTCATGGTAAAGTATTTTACCATGGTAAAATATTTGCATATGCATTTGGAACGAACCAAATGTGTGAAATGCAATTTACATATGTCAATATTCCTCGGGGAATATTTATGCGCGAACCAAACGTACCCTAAAGTTTGTTAAATGGTTGCATATGCACATATTAGCTGTTACTTGGAGTAGGTACTTAGAAGCGTAATGCTCTTCCAAATGTTGATATAGGTACATAGACATAAAACTAATAAATTCCATCTCTTCGATACTAACCAAGGTTTGAAAAAACGGATTGGTGACCCGGATCACCCATCCGAAAACCGGGTCGGATTGGTGGATCGACGGTTTGGATTGGAGGGTCGGCTGGATAGCCAAGATCAGGCTTTAAAAATTTCAAAAAATCACTAAATTTTTTTCTTAGCAGACTATTTTTTTACGTTTTCAAAAAATAGTGGTATTGCATTATATGTTTTTACTGTTTTACTGAAAATAAATAAAAATGAGAACTTGGCTCATGTCTGAGTGTTTGTTATCCACCTACTACATTTATTTTAAAGTCAAAATGAAATTTAAAATGCAACTAATTGCAATAAAATGGATCTCTCTAATTCAAAATTTATAGTGAAAAAAAAAGAAAGTGTATGATAGTTTTGGACCTTTTGATTTAATAGAGAGAAAGAAACGTATGACTCTCACAAATAAATAGCTCTAATGTATAATAATTATTATGGACAAAAATATAGAATTTGGAAACAAGAATTTGCAATCATGTTTTAATAAAATAAAAAAATTAGGTAAATGAATTAAAATTGGGGGCGAGTTTCTACACCTACTTTTTAGCAACTGGACCCACGATGCAGGTTCATCTGTCACTTCACTGGTTGATTTGGTTAATTGTCCCACTATTGAGCCTTCTAATTTAAGATTTTATTTTTTGGGGTAAGAGTTTAAGAATATATACTTACACAAAAACTATAAGTTTATAAGCATATGAAACTGACATAGTCTCCTGTTCTGTTTCTCTCTCTTTTTCTCTATTGTGTCCAAAATCCGAATTTCCTCCTCTATCTTTACATAAATCATCCTTAATTTCCAGAAGCTTGATTTGCAGGGAACTTGCCCAAGTCTAACATCTTTTTGCCTATTTGCATGAATTAGTTTGTGATAACCATGGTACTATGTACAGATAAGATGAAGGCTGAATGGATGAAAATCAAGTTTTTCATCTCAGTGATATCCATTCACAAAGACGAATCAACCAGTGATCATTCTATGAAATTGATTATGGAATGAACAATGAAAATCAAATAAAAAAATATCCATAGATTTTTTTGGATGCATATCAACAATGGATTCAGCTCAACAGAACCTTCTTGATATGAACTTCCAGAGCTTGTGAACAGATCATTCCATATTCTTTTTGAGTGCAATGTTAAAGCATATGGGGACAGTCTTGAGGTCCCTGGATTGGAAGGCAATCAGCATGAATACATGAGAGTCTTCAGTATTCGAGGTTGTAGCAAACTCTATAAAATGAGGTTCATGCGAGGGTGTTGGTTGATGGCCCCATGTAGGGTCTTAGCAAGGTTTTGCAATAAGTCTTGATAATGTTCTGGCGTATTCACGAGAGAGAGAAAACTAAGAGAGCATGACCCATAGTGATATCGATTGATAGGCACCTAAAATGAAGATAGCATGGCCCATGAGCACGGATGTCAGGCCTTAATCGAGAAATGGTTCAAATTTTTGTTAACAATAAACTCAAGGTCATCTTGATTGAAAATTTGCCTTTTCTTTAAGGTAGGATCTTTGCTTTATTAAGGTCCAATTACGGGACTTCTTTTACCAAATAATCAGTGATTGATATATTGAAAGTGAGCTGGCAAAGTGACTGCAGTTAGCAAAACATTGGGTCTAAATAATAGCCCCCTACTGATTATTGCTCCTTTTTTTAAAAAAAAAAGGAAATAATGTACTAGTGGCATTGTCCTCTTTTGGAGATAACATATATGGTAACATTCTTAACTTTAAATGCTCCTATGCATGTCTTCTACTTAATTTTTCTTTGAGTTGAGTGATACACTTCAGGTGACGTGTATGTCAACATTCTTCTTTAACTTCCTTCACATCAGATGTTCATTTACATGTAAATTATTAGGGTTTGCTTTTAGTTAGGTGATTACTCTCCTGTCCTACCGTTCTCACCCTTCCTTCCCTTTCCAGTTAATCAGTCCTCCCTTGCTCGGGACTTCTAAGGAAAGAGAGGGCTATCCCTTGCTTGTGGCACCCCTGTTTTGCAAGTAGGAGGTCAAGGATTTGACCCTTGTTGTTTGTCCCGTAAAATTTTTTTAGAATTGTCCTGGGCTTCATTGATTACAGTGTTGACACTTGCAACACTACAACCCATGTTTGAATCCCACTGCTGACCTGCCCCAAAAGAAAAAAAGGAGTGACAATTGAAATTTTTTACAAAGGTTGTTTAATTTGATAAAAAAGATAAGCCTGCTTTAAAGTGGTTTATATGTTATGTCTATAAAGTCGACACGTTGGAAATCATGCCGACACTTGCTTTTTAAAAACCTGATACACCTAAGGGAATTATGGACATTCCCTTTATACAAATGAGACACCGGTTATCTACGCAATCAGGAATAATTTGTTGGAATTCATCGAATTGCTTTCATAGAAGAGTGCCAACGTTGCAATTTTTAACCAATCGGGAGACAACCATAGAAGTGGCATTATCCTTTGGATGAAAGATGTGCTCAAGAAAATTCACTTTTGCAGGAGTATTTTAATCAGAAACAAGGAACTCTCTCCTAGTGAGATTGAGTATTGTAGCAGCTCTGATATTTTACATCTGCAGCCTCCCACCAAACATTGGTGAAACATGTTTTTAGATGCTAATTTGAGTGCTGTTGACTTGCCCTCATTGCACTTGGAGGGTGGGTCACCTTAGCATCTCCCCAATTGGGAGAATGCATGTCATAATATGAGTGATGTCAACACTGTTGGTATTTTCAACCATAGTAGAGATGGTAGAGAGGGCATGCCGTATATTACTTTCATTTAGCATGATAGTATTTCGAAGGCCATCCAAAAGGGCTTTGTTGAAGTCATCATCATCATCAGAACCTTTCCTAATTATTTGGGGTCAGCTACATGAATCTCGGTCCGCTACTCTGCTCTGTTAAGGCCATATCCTTAGTGAGGCCACAAGTCCCATATCTTTTCGCACTACTTCCCGCCATGTCCTTTTGGGTCTACCCCTTGCCCTTTTTGAGCCTTCCACTTGAATTAACTCGCACATCCTAACAGGTGTTGTACTGGATCTGCACTGCACGTGGCCAGCCGACCTAAGTCTACTTTCTCTCATCTTATCGCATATTGGAGCCACACTTAAGTTCTCCCGAATATATTCATTTCAAATTCTATCTCTTCTTTCTTACTACCCATCCATCTCAACATCCTCATCTCAGCTACACTCATCTTTTGTTGACTGTTCAAAATTTCGCCCCATAAATTAAAGTTGGTCTCACAGCTGTCCTATAGAACTTACCCTTCAGCTTCATTGGTATGTGGCTTTGTTGAGATCCTAAGAATATAATTACAATTAAGGGAGTTGTTTATCTTAAGAAAATAATTAGTCAAGTACTTAAAGACATCCTTTGCTGGATCACATTTACTATTGCATTTGGGCATTCATTGACACTTGGGGATAAAGTCAAAGTCTTATAGTTCCATCTGAGAAGGGATTTGTTTTGCAGCGATAGAAATAAAAAACCATGTCACCTTTTGCTAGTTATTCACATGGCAAGTTTAGTTGGATCATGTGCTCTTATTAGTAGGTCTTAGCCTACCTAGATTGTGCATAGTGAGTGGCTCTTGGTTTTAACATTTCCTATATCTAGCTCAATGCATAAATAGTACATTAAGTTACTTATTCTTTGACTTAGAATTGGGTTATAATTTTCGATCACTATGATATCTGTATGCAGGTATTTTTTAGCCCTGAGATCTATAGCAGTGATTTCATCACCCCTTTACCCTCTGTTATAGACAAGTGCATCCAATCATCTCCCATTGATACAAGGCGGGCTTTATACAAGGTTGTATATTGTCTCCTATGATTAGATCTCTCACTTTAACTTATTTCTCTGTAGTTTTTCTTTCAGTGTTTATGCTGCCAGGCAAATTTTTTATATCAATTGTGTTAATTGTGATTATGATTTATTTTCAGAACATAGTATTATCTGGAGGGTCTACGATGTTTAAAGACTTCCATAGAAGGTTGCAGCGAGATATAAAGAAGATTGTTGATGCTCGCGTTGCGGCATCTGATGCTCGACTTGGTGGAGACACAAAAGTGATAGCTTATCTTTTTTGACGTTCTTTTTTTATTTTTTTCAAAAAAAAATATAGTTTTTTTTTTCCCATATAAAAGTATACTTCAAAAAGTTTTTGCACCTTTTTGCGTAGTCTAGTCTACTGACTGTTATAATATGTTTGCAACTCAACAGTCTCAGCCAATTGAAGTCAACGTTGTTAGCCATCCCATCCAGCGATTTGCAGTTTGGTTTGGGGGTTCGGTGCTTGCATCAACACCAGAATTTTATGCGGTATTTTCCGTCCTAAGAATGTTTTGCAAGAAGGCGTCTATTTATAATCTTCATAGCAATTCCTTCATGCAAATCTGAATCTCATACTTTATGAGGGCACCTTTGTGTGACCCAAAAATATGGGTAGTGATACTATTCATCCCATCATTTTAAGATTCATCTATTTTACCCAAAACATGGGTGTAAATAATAAAAATATGGATGAGAACAGCAGCCAATATTTGTCTTGATAAGCATAATGTTAGTCATGAACCCCAAAATACAATGCATATTTATACTCTTCTTCTCCATGATAAGTACCTAGAGAATTGCTTGGGGCCTTGGCGGTAGTATTGCCGAGCCCCATGGTGAAGTCTCTGATTCCATTCTCACCATAGGGTAGGGGCCCAAGTCCCCTCTGATTTACCACTTTAACTCCATTTTCACCAAAGGGTAGGGGCCCAAATCCCCATTGACTTGCCACCTTACTTACCCAAAAAAAATGGTATAAAAAATGTCCTCCAAAGCATCTATTAACTTGCATGGCACTTTTGTCTCATATGTCTTATCTGATGATAGGCCAAGAAACTCATAGAGAACTCCCTTACTGAAAATGCCAGTCAAAATTTCTAGGAGGGGTCATCCTAAGTAGCCATTTAGTGCCATTTATGGACTTGTTTTTGACACTGAGGGAATCTATGTCACAACCAACGGTCTCAGGAAGTGATTCCCATTTAAGACTCTGGATGGAGGCCATTTTAGATTCATCTTAAATGAGAAGTAATAAAGAACAAGAAATCATCTCCTATACTTCATGTAACACTTCATCTAAGAGTACTCCTCCCGCACAGCGCTCGGTGTTAGTCCTTGGGCTCTGAATCTTGTCCAAAATCCATGTGGGAAATACTAAGTGCATCAACGAACGAGTATTACCATTTTGTTTCCAAAAGAACCTTTGGCAATATGCTCTCCACATTTCTTACCTACTTGTCTACCTCTCCTGTACCACCTCTCATTCTATACGTGGACCCTAACTCAAGATACTATCGTCCTGTCTCCTAGCATCACACCCAATCCCTATGTCTCTCTTAATCATAGTTGCAAATTTGTTGCGAAGTGTCCTGCAAATGCAAAGGTATTATGATCACACACACACACACACCCTTCATTATATTGTACCATAAGGCCTTTGGTTGGTTTTAAGGGAGATTTACCATGAAGGCCACTTTGATTGTAGAACCACTTTAAAGTTTACAGAACCTGCTCCGCTCCCAAGTTTCGTGAAAAGTTTGCCTTCTATGTTTATTCGGACCCAACCTTGTCTCTCATGCTAGCAAGTTGCAAAAGTTCTCTTTCTCCTGACCTCTCTCTCCCCCCCCCCACATATGCACCCACCGGACATACACACAAATTGTTTCAAGTGCTGGAATGATATATAGGTTCACCATTTAGTTGTGCATTTACCGTAGACATGCTGGATTCACCCAATCTCCTATTGAGTGATTCAAACGTCTCCTCGAACAAGGGTTTGCCAAGTTCTGAGCTAACATGGGTTTTTTCCTTGCAGGCTTGCCATACAAAAGCAGAGTACGAGGAGTATGGTGCGAGTGTTTGCCGAACAAATCCCGTATTCAAAGGCATGTACTAACGTAGAAACAGGTCAAAAGTGTAGGTCAAGTTCTTCATCAATCTAGCGGGAGAAAATCCAGTTGTAAAATGAAGATACACCAATTCCTTTACATTTCAAGGTTCCAACCTTGGAGTGTTTCAGGGGCCCTTGCTGGTGGTTATAGCAGGTAGCATGAGCTCCATTACTGGAAAACCGGACCCTGAGAGCTGTACAATAGATGTGATAGTTAGGTGAGCTATGAATTTTGGTACTCCCATTACATTCCTATTCTTTTTTAGAAATAAATCTCATCAGATTTCCAGCCATCATAAAAGTAGATGTTGTATGTTTTGTGATACCTGTATGTAGAAGAGCAGTCTTTGACTGGCTTGTACAGCCTAGGCTGGATGTCATTTTAACTTTCAGCTTAGTTGGGTATGGCGTTTCTGCAATATTTGATCCATATATATTGGCAGTGGAAATATTGTTTGGGGTCAGAGGAAATCAATCCCCAGTTGGGTACCTTTCATTGTCACATAAATTTCTATTGCACTCAATAGTGTCACAATATAAAGAGCCATTTTTCTATTGGTTTATCCATTTCTTTATTTCTTGTTATAAATTTGATGTGGTTGTATAGCTCCAACTTTCTCATTTTTATACCATTTGTTTTTCGTTTGATTTGTTGGATTAATGGTTTGATTTGTTTGATCGTTGGTTTGATTTGTTTCGGCTCCTATTTCTAAACTTGTTTTGATTACTCAGCTCTAAATGATTCGTATTTAAGCATTTATTGTTCTTTTGGTTTGGATTTTATGTGAACAATTCCCTTCGGGACACACCATTTCTGGTAAATGTCGAAAGTGACAACACACTGGTGAAGAATATCTTAAACTGGTACATATTTGGCCTGTTAATCGAATGCTAGTTTGAAGTTGCATTATTATTTTTGAAAAGTCTTTTTATGGGTAGAGAAAGAAACTTGTAGATAAAGCATTTTTCAGCCAAGATGTAGAAACCCTATCAGAATATGGAGTTTACAAACAGGGAACTACATGCGGACATGTCACCTCACCGGAATGGTTGAGATGAATGTTCCTCCTCGAATGCAGACAGTGAACAGAGGAATGGTTCGGATCAACCATTCATTGTCAACAGCGGATGATTGATGTAACATGTAGTTTACTGTGTGAATTACATCACAACGCGGAACATTTTGACCTTTGGGCAATTTAATTATGTTTATAACGTTTTGTATATATATATATATATATTGGAAAAGCTGAGATTAGCTTACTAGCTCATATGAATATATGAGTTCAACAGGTCAGATTGAATCTGAGTCGATCTGATGATTATGGATGTTCGGTAATATTTGAATTTTATTTTATTTTTTTACAAATCCAAATCGTTTAAAATTTTAAGAGTGTGTTTATAAACAATAGTTGAATTTTCGAAAAATATCAAAAAAATATTTTACATGAAATAAATTCACCAAATACCTCCAAAACATTTTGGGGGTATTTTGGTCATTTTATTTTTTACAAATAATTTGTTTTATATTTTTATTAGGTATGCCTTGATGAGAAGAACACACGTTTAAAATTTGAAGTGATTTAGATTTGTAAAAAAAAATTTAAAATTCAAATGCGAAATGAGGTTGTGACCGTCTTATCAGTTCAGATTCAATTTGGGTTGTTGGGTATATATTTTCATATGAACTAGTGGGCTAATCTC